GTGGGTCATGGGGGGCCTCCTTGCTTCACCTCTAAGGGGAACACTCCCTTTCCACCCCGCCGCCTAAACCTCGGACGTCGTCACCCGGAAGTCTGGGAGTCACGTCCACGATCCCTGCACTTACAGATGGTGGGGCCCAGGGCACCCCATCCAGTTGGGGTCCCAGCTCCCTGAATCAAGGCAGGCAGAGTGGGCTGAGGCGGGAGGCTCAGGGCCCTTCACTGAACCACCCAGTTCAGACTAGGGCTGGGGGAGCAGAAGGGGACAAAGCAAGGGGACACCGCGGCAGTGATGGCCCCAGCCCCAGGGACCGGAGGAAGGAACCATGTGTGACGCATGGGGCCTGGCCCGGGGCCCCTAGAGAGCAGGGTCTGTGGCTCCCGCCTACTCACAAAGAGGACTCAAGGGAAGGCTGGGAGTGGATTAGGGCCCCACACCCAGAGGGCCCGAAGGTTACCTCCAGGCTGCCTGGCCAGAGGACCCCTGCCCACCCTGCCCTGCAGGCCTGCTCCACGGCAGGAACCATCGTGCAGGGCTCCACCTCCAGCAGCGTGGCCGTGGCCGTGGCTCCTGCTTCTGTGCTGAGCACGTGCTCTGGGAACTCGGGGAGATGGACGGACCACACCCTCTTTGCCAGCCCAGACAGGGGGCTTGGGGCCAGGACCTCAGCCTGCTGACCAGCCTCCTGCCAGTGTCCACGGAGCAGGCCCTCCGAGCCTGAGTCAGGAGCATCTCCAGACCCGAGGGCAAGGGTATTGTCACCCAAGCACCCCCGCCACCAGTTCTCTGCTTCTGAGGCCAGCCCTGCTGCCCGTCCACCTCAGACCCTCTGCAACCCACTTCCCTTGCCGGCCCACGGGCCCACGGCCACAGAACCCAGAAGGTGGCTCTGGGCACCGCACGTTCCGCCCAGAAACGGAGGGACACGGCCTGACTGGGCCACTGCTCCAAAGAACACCTATTTGCACAGCCACGGACCAGAGCCAGCAGGGAGGGGAGCCCGGAAACAGACTACCCAGATAGTTCCTTCTTAATGCACCCCTGCAGAGGAGCTATTCCAGAAACTTCGCCCTGACTCTGGCTGTCCCCCCAGGGCAGGTGTCAGGATAAGCCCAATGCTCGCTGGAGGCCTCCCCCGAGGGCCATGGTCAGTGCAAGCCTGCCAGGGAGGTCCAGCCAGCATGTTCCTCCTCACCGCCCCGGGAGACAGGCTGTGTCCCCACCACCCACGTGGCCTTTGGGGCCTGAACCTTTGGCAGGACAAGACCCAGCCTGCTCTCCCCAGACCCCTGAGGTCCAAAGGACCTCAAAGCCTAGGATGGCTTGGCACCAGCAGGACTGGTGAGACTGGCCAAGTAGATCCCCTGTCCCTCTGGGGGTCAGGGAGGAGACGGGGGCTGGACCTGGGACTGCGTCCAGGGTAAGCACTGTCCTCGTCAGAGGGTTGAGATCAGAGGTCAGGCATATTGTGCAACAGCCTGTCACCTCCTCCTCTGCACAGGGTCAGCATCCTGACGGACACGTGGGGGCCTGCGGGCCACATGGCCCCCAAACTCTTCATCTGAGCCCCTGGGGTCCACAGTCAGGAAGCCAGCTCTCCCCAAGGAGGGCTCTGCTCCCTGCAGGCCTGGGGAAGGCTGCCCAGACCCCGGCCACGTCCCTGGGGTTGAGGGGCAGGTGGCCCCCTGGCTCCCCACCATTCTGACAAGCAGCTCCCTGGGTGGAGACCCCCAGGCCCACTCCCTCCCTCCCTCACCCAGCAGCTCAGGCCCTTCCTGCTGCTCCCTGGGGCCCCTCCAGACGGGGCCCTTGGTGGCCATCAGCCATGAGCAGTGAGAGGTCCTGGTCCCTCTTGAATAACCACTTCTCTCGTTGCACCAGTGTAGAGGTTTTGAGGTGAAAATCACAAGCTTTTCCTAATCCAAATACAAAAGCCACCCCTCACCACCCCAGGCATGCTGGGAGATTATCCTCGGCAGGAGCCGCACCTGCTGTGGCCCCGTCCCAGGAGGAGCCGTCCTGTCTGCAGACAGGCTTTGTGCTGCTGACACTCCCGACAGCCCGGCCTCCTGCCTCTTTTCACATAATGTTTAGTGTGACCACATCACCACGCGGGGCAGGACAGCGTGGAATCCACCGTGCCCTGCTGTGCGCCCCACCGGTCTTCACGGTGGCCGGTGGCCGCCGGAGAGGTTGCTCCCTGCAGGCGTGAAGGCACGTGACCGGCTCCCCTGGGGTCTGGGGTCCTGTCCAGACAGCACAGGTCCTTGTCACCTTGAGACACATGTCATCCACCCAGACGGGACAGGGCTTCATCACGTCCCTGCTGGGTGTGCGAAGATTCAGGAACCCGTCTGGTGGAGCACACATTTACCACCATAAACACGGGTTTGCACCAGTAAGCCCCTGTCCCACGTCCCGCTTTGCAGGCTGTGTTGTGTTCCGCGGACTCTAAGACACCATCAGCCTTAAGACAACACAGAGGAAAGCTGGAGGGGGCGTCCGTGAGACACGCCAGCCCCTACTGTCAGACAGTTGAGAGGTGAACAGCATTGAGTGTCCCGTACCTGCTCTCTGAGCTCCCGGAGCGGGTGCCTGGCGGCCGGCGGGCACCAGGCCTCATGCTCGTCGTGCCCACCGCCACTGGGTAACACGGGCAGGAAATGCCTAGCACAGGCCTCTCTCCCGCAGCCCGGTCCCTGCCACCTCCCCCACCCAGGCTGCCAGGCAAAGCAGCCCCAGCCTCCAGCCCAGAAATAGGGAGAAACGTGCCAGCTGCACACCTGGCTGCAGAGGGTCGAAGGCTGAGCCCAAGAACTGTGAGACCATGACCTGAGCAGGTCTACCAGCTGACCCCAGACGGGTGGGGACAGAGCAGGGCCAGCTCCGTCATGCCATCAAGCACCCATGGATCTGTCCTGTGTGGTGGAAGCCTCAGCTGCCTGTGGGCACCCAGCCAGGGGCATGGGACGGTGGCCACGGCCACAGGGTCAGGGCTGGCTCTTGGGGCTGGCAGGGCAGGAGGGGTAACTCGACAGTTGGAGTGGCCCAGGGCGCCAGGCCCGGTCAGGCACCAGAACCCAGGCGAGGCCACCGGTGCGGAAGGGAACTCTCGTCTTAAATCCTGGCAGGTGGGGCACCTGGGGGGCTCAGTCAGTTAAATGTCTGACTCCTGGTTTCGGTTCAGGTCATGGTCTCATGGTTCGTGGGTTCAAGCCCCACATACGCTCTAAACTGAGAGCGGGGAGCCTGCCTGGGATTCTCTCCCTCCCTCTCTGCCTCTCCCCTGCTTTCTCAAAAATAAACTTAAATAAAAAATAAATACATAAGCCAATCAATCCTGGCAGAGAGCAGGCGGGAGCAGTTGGGGACAGAGGAGGTGGGCCACCCACCAGGAGGTGGGTGCCTGTGTATGTGTGTGCCCACGTGTATGCATGTGTGCACCGTGTGTGCAGAGGCCTGTCTGTGGATTGTGAATTGTGAATTGTGCAGGGCAGGCCCCACGAGTGAACCACGGGGCCAAAGGTGCACCACTTCCCATTCTGACATCTGAGGGCCAGCTCATCCTCAGGGACAGGGAGGTTCCTCCTGCCACCTGCTCCCTATGACCCCCAGTCATTGGGCCACTTCTCAAAGCCCCACCCCTACACTAGCAGAAAACACCTAAAATCTTAAGCCTTTTCATATTTCGTGCATTATTTTTTTAATTTTTTTTAAGTGTTTTTATTTACTTTTGAGACAGAGAGAGAGCATGAACAGGGGAGGAGCAGAGAGAGAGGGAAACACAGAATCCGAAGCAGGCTCCAGGCTCTGAGCTGTCAGCACAGAGCCCAACACGGGGCTCGAACTCATGGACTATGAGATCATGACCTGAGCCAAAGTCGGACACCCAACCGACTGAGCCACCCAGGCGCCCCTTTCGTGCATTATTTTAATTCTCACAGTGAAGCTGCTTAGTCATACGACCATCCCTGAAAGTCATTTTGGAGCCACAAAGCCCTCACTGTATGTCACTAACATGAACTGATTCCATCTGACAACTTAGGAAACCCACGTGAGGCCAAGCCCATGGGCCCAGGAGGCGGGGTCTTAGGTTACTGGGAGCGATGAGGACAAGGGAAGGGGTCAGGCCTGGGGTCACTCTGTCGGCCCCCATGTTCCAGCACTTAGGGAACAGGGCACACAGAGGCACCTCACCGCAGCCTTTATGAGATTATTTTCCAGTAAAAGAAACAAGGAGAGTGTCGTGATTAATTCCCATTTTTACTGGAAGTTCATAACGGCCAGAAAGCGAAAACATACCCAACCTCAGACCTCCACAGCCCCAGGAGGCCCCAGGGCAACAGCAACTAGCAGGCCAGGGCCGCGGAAGCAGCGTACCCGGGCCTGGCCCCTGGCCTCACCGACCTTTGATGCAGAAGACCAGACACATTACAGCAAACCACCGAGACGAAATACTAATGGCTGACCTCTGACAACGGTCTTGCCAATGCACAGACCTTCCAGAAAATGGAGGAACGATGCCTTCCAGGGTGGAGACCATCCCTGTCACTCTGGCTCAAAGTTGACCCTGGTGACCCGGGATGGACCCCACACAGAGCTCATCACCTCTGCCGGGGGCTCACGCCACATGGGGGACAGGACCACCCACGTCCCCTCCCACGGCTGCAGCCGGTCTCCGGAGTGGGCAGAACTGCTCGCCCACCGGCCTGCCCGGCACGTGCAGCAGGAGGCCTTCTCCCAACCTGCAGAGGGCTGGAGGGCGCCCGCACAGAGGCTGAGCAGCACAGCCGGGGAGGGACCCGCCCCCACCCCACCCCCACCCAGGAGGGACCCGCCCCCACCCCACCCCCACCCGGGAGGGACCCGCCCCCACCCCACCCCCACCCGGCCCCCACCGCGCCCCCAGCCAGCCCGGCAGGCCCACTGCGACCAGGACAGCAAGACCAGGACAGGATCAAGGCCCCTCCCATGTCTCCCACTGGCCCCGGCAGGCCTCATCAGGCCTGGGCAGGTAGCGTCTTGTAGGGGTTCAGGATGCCCTTGGGGTCCAAGAGGGCCTTGAGCTGCTGCATGAGCCGCAGGGCCTCGGGCGGCTTGCTGTAGCCGAGGACGCCCCTCTTCTTGAAGCCCAGGCCGTGCTCTGCGCTGACGCTGCCCCGCTGCTCGGCCGTCCACTCGTACACATAGGGCTCCAGGGCGCCCAGCACCGAAGGGCTGAAGGCCTCTGACGTCACGTTGAGGTGCAGGTTCCCATCCCCTGCAAGGACAGGGACGCTGGGTCAGGCAGGGCAGGCTGAGACCCCTTCCTCAGTACCCCCAGTCCTGCTCCTGCCCTCACGCCTGCTTCCTGCCCTTACGCCACTGGCCGCTGACCTGCAGTGACAGAAGTGGCCTGCTGGTGACTGCTCCTGTCTTCTGGGAGGTCTCTCCGAGTCCTTCCCTCTGTCCTCGTGGCCCTCTCTGAGGGCTCCCAGCCAAGAGTCACTGACCACCCATCCAGCTGGTGAGAGCACCTGTGGCGGTCCCCAGACCCACTTCTCCCACGGTGCCAGGAAAACCCCATCCCCGCCCAGCCAACGCCCGCCACAAAGTCCTGGCTCCCAGCCTCCCCCCTGGTCTGCTGGGGCCCGGCGCTCTCTGGCCTCACTGAGACATACAGATGCGCCCTGGCTCTGCCTCTGCCCACACGCACCCCCCTTGGGGGTCCCAAAGCAACGACGAGACACAGGATTAACCTGAGACAATGGGGGCAGGAGAGGGGGCTGCAGTCTGGCCGGAGGAGAGCCTGGTGCGCCCACATCCGTGGGGCTGAGGGGAGGAAAGGGACAACACAGAGCAGCCGCCAGTGCCCAGAGGCAGGAGGGAGGCAGACTTGCCCGCCATGAGGCCCTCACCCAGGAGGTAAACGTTCATTTGCTGGTGTGACCGCCATGCAAAGCCAGCATGGGAGCCACCGCAGATGCGCAGAACAGGAGGCCCCCGTCCCAGACTCGGAGGTCAGGAAGGTGGAAAGGGCCGAGCAGAGCAGACGGTGCGTGGGGCCCAGGGAGGGTTGCCGCCCACCCTGAGACACAGGGAGCCGGGGCGCCAGCAGGAGGGGCCCCTAGAGGCTAGAGCGGCAAACCCCAGGCAGCACAGGGGGCACAGGGGGCAGGGCTGCGGCCTCGGACCGATGACCCAGAGCTTCTCACGCCCCACCTCCCTCCCTCCGGGTCTGTCAGGGGTAGGGAGCAGAGCAGGTACCCTCTCCCACCAAAGTGGTCCCACGGACACACTCAGGGCAAAGGCACCAGAGCCCCACCAGGGAGCTGCCCGGGAAAGCCAGTCCACGCACACTTCCCGGGTATGCTCGGCCACAGCCAGAATTCACCCCACCTCAGTGCTCCCGCGGACCTTGAGCTAAGAACGCGAAGATTAAAGAGGTTCCAGCTCAGGGACCTGGGTCCCCACCCCCACTCCTTCTCCCTGCACAAGGAAGTCACCCAAATAATTCCCACAAAGCCCTAAATACAGGAGCCCACAACAAAAATGACCTGCACACAAGGAAGCAACCACCATGAGCAGGAGCCAGCAGAGAACAAGGCACAGCTTCTGACACTGTAACTTCCGGAAACCGAACACAAACGTGTCATATGTTAAGAGTAAGAGATAAGGGCACCTGGGTGGCGCAGTCGGTTAAGCGTCCGACTTCAG